TCTACAAGGGCATCCTGCAGTTCAGACACGCTGTTAGGCCTAGAAGAGTCAGGGCTGCTCAAAATCGAATGTTACACAAAAGAAATTATAAAATTCTTTTAAGATTGTGATGCAGTTCTTAAGCGATCCAAACGGGAGTAAACAACACCATGTGGAAGTCTGGGGCTTCAATTACGCACTTCTGTAGTTCCCAAACTGTAATATGGGGTCCTGCCTGCTGGTCCTGAGCCCATCTGGCCCTCCAGAAGTACAGACATTCATAAGAGGATATCAACCTTGTCACCTATTCATCTGGCACCCAAAGAAACTGGATCCTTCTCTGGCCAGCACTAGAATGATGACAGCTCTAGAATCTTGCCAGAGAATGTAGCTAGCCCGGGCATGAAATACTGTAAAGGGTTCTTGAGCCACTCCCCTCAGAGGTCCTAAATACAATCAAGTCAGAACACCCAAGGACTTTTGGTCTTTGCTTATAACCCTATAGAATTGTCTTTTCTCAGTCCCCTTCAATTTGGGACTGCCAGCTTTGCCAGCTTTAACAGAAAGCTTTTACACTTGTTGTGAATTCCCACTGCAGAGCTCCAATATATTTTTTAATGACCGTTATTTAAAAACCCACAGAACAAATTCTCTTTTAATTTAATGTCCTGGTGTCTTCTCTTTTGAAAACAACCTGCTCAGATGTTTTATTAAGAGTTAATGTTCCAACAATTCCATTTCTGAGAATCTAACCTAAGGAATTCTTATTTATAACTTGAAAAAACTGGATGTCTAAGAATAGGATACCTTGTACAAATGTGGCACATGATCCAGACAGGTTCATGATGCAGTCATTAAACAGTACTGATAATGTACTGTGCAAGTGTCTTGTGATCAACTGACGAAAGCACTGTGTGCGCATATGTGTATTTAGTGTGGAGTTGGTCCTGGCTAAGTCACATGAAATTCTGACTTGCCCAGCCTCTCTGACATAGTTGTGAATTTAGTGGGCATATAGGCATCTATTTGCATGGGTCGATTTCCATGAGAATTCTGATATTTTGTATTTTGGGCCAAAGGAGTCAGAAGACATATGTGCACAGTTTCCTGGGGATGGGGGGGACAGAGGACAGGGAGGCAGTAGGTTGACTGACATTATCCCCTTGGACTGATCTTCAAGCTCCCTATATTATGGGAAAAAATGAAATCCCTTTATTACATGCTTTCAAGGGGCCACGTATCTCTGCTTGTTGCCCTTATCACAACTGTGATTTGTGTAACTATTTGATGAATGTTCACCTCCCTCCTGGCCTACAAGTTCCATTAGGGCAAGGTTGCTCTTTGTTTTTCACACTACTTGACATGTAGTCATGATAGCTGAGGGAAGGCAGCGGAGGGAGAGAAGAAAGAGAAGAGAAGGGAGAAAGGGAGAGAAAAAAAGGGGGAAGGATAAAGACGGAGAAGCAGCAAATTTTTTATGAGGGACACTGTGGGTCCAGGTGACAGTACACTGTCAAACTGGGAGAGCACTCTCATTGTTTCCACTTGGAACACAGCAAGGCCAAGAATCAGTGAAACCAACAGGAAGGCAAGGATGCCTTGGCACCTTGCAGGTCCGCACCTGGGGGATGCATCAGGAGATGGCATCGCAGGCAAGGCAGGATTCTCCGGCAGGACCAGCAGTGGTGCATGTGACAGGGCACTGGAGAGAGTGGCACTGCCCAGCAGGAATCTGTCAGGAAAGCAGCAACATGCTCAGGCATGGACTTGTTCCTGTACTCTCAATAGTCTGAAGTCAGGGATACCCAGACATATCCGGAAGGGGATGGGGAAATGCCCCCATTAAGGCCTAAGTGAAGGTGGGGATACAAAGCCAGTAACATGGAGGTGTCAATGCCAGTGTGACCTGTTTATAGCCCCAGCTGGTTATCACTGAGGATAATCTGAAACACTCTAAGACTAAAACCAAAGAAAGGTTATCAAAATGGTAATGAATTCAATGGTTGTGATGATTTTTCCCCTCTAATACTCATAATTAATTTTTATAATAAAAAAACACATAATAGGAAAAAATGTGTCTCATTTGAAGAACCGCTATTTTCTTTTATCAGACGCTACGAATTTTGTGATCCACTGTTTCTGCCTTTTCCCTGGTTCTAAGAAAACTCAGAGTCAAACTTCGTGTTCAACCACAGTAACTTCATTAGTGTAGTGGTCTAGACAGTTGCTTTCTTCTCATTCTACACAGCTAAGGGCCACAAGGAAAAAAATTCCTCCACAAAGCCTCCTCACTATTTTGTCTACCCCTGTAGACATGAAATCTTTACCATATGAGTTAGTTTTTAAATGCTACCACCCTCCCTATATTACTCACATTTTCTTATGTGTATGAGCTACTTTTTCAACTAGACCAGTGATTCTCAATGAGGGGTATAAAGAAAAGAGAAGCGATTAGAGGATGAAAGGAGGGCCTATCAGAACCATCTGGATGTCCTTTTCTGAATTACATGTACAGCTCACCTGCACCCTCCCATACCGTAAGCATCACTGCCACTGTGAGGTGACACACACACGGGAGCTGTTATACCCTGGAGGGGCGTTAGGAGGTAAAAAGAATAACCACTGATCAAGATCATATTTTCACTAAAAGGTGAATTTTGGAATCAGAAGCTTATCAGTTTCAACCCTGGACCTAATATTCACCCTAGGCTCCTTATTCTCAAATGGATATAAAAACACCTTTCTATCAATGTATGAATATTAAATGTATGCTAAGTGCTAATAAACAGAGCTCAGTAAATGCTCTTTAGGCCTTATTTTTCAAGTAGACTTGAGAGCTCCTTTACATTGGGATTTCTCAATCTTAGCACCATTGACATTTTGGACCAGAAAATTCTTTATTGTGGGTGCTACAGGTTAACCTGTATGGCCCCCTCCCCCGCCATTCACATATTGAAGTCCCAACCCCCAGTACCTCAGAATGTGATTTTATTTGGAGACAGGGTCTTCAAAGTGGTAATTAAGGTAAAATGAGGTCATGTGGATGGGCCCTGATACAATATGACGGGCGTCCTTATAAGAGGAGATTAGGGGACAGACATGTGCGAGCAGGGAGGAAAGATCATGCGGGGACACGGAGAAGGTGGCCATCTGCAGGCCAAGGAGAGAGATCTCAGAAGAAACCAACCCTACCAAGCACTTGATCTTGGACTGCTATCCTCCAGAACTTTGAGAAAAAGACAAATTTCTCTGGTTTAAGCCCCCCAGTCCATGGTACTCTGTTATGGCAGGGTGAGCAAACACTCCATGGGAGTTGGCCTGTGCATTGCAGGATTTTTAGCAGCATCCCTGGCCTCTACTCATTGATACTAGTAGCAATCCTCCTACCCCACAATTGTGACAGCCAAAATTATCTCCATACATTGCCAAAAGTCCCCAAGGGGCTAAATCTTCCTCCCCACCCCACTGAGAACCACTGTTTCAGACGGCCTCCGGTCACCTTTGTATTCCCAGTGCTCAGCATAGTGACTGCTACCTACCTAAGTAGATAATCAAATATTTACCGAATGGATTCTCTTGCCTGGTTCCCTATCTCCGGTCTCACCACTCCCAAGCAAACTCCTTGTGCTGCAATTAAAGTAGTAGTTACTTCCAGTTTAATTTATAGCAGACTGTGTAATTTTTAATGACACAAGCAATTTTCATTTTAGCATAATTTCTGGCAACTCAGGGACATAAATATCACATCAATGTTAAACCCTATTTTGTCTGATATTGCTCACTTACCTCACATCAGATCCTTTGATAGATTCAGTGAGTGCTGCTACTTTTAGTTTCCTTAATGCATCCCTCATGATTTTTACCAGATGAAATGACTACGACAAATTCTTACATAACCATTTGAAGCTCAAGGAACTAAAAAAAACCCACAAATGGCCATTTAAGCGTGAAAACGTGAACTCTAAGTCTTAACAAGACTCCACACATTATCCAGAAATCCAAAAGCATACCAGAAAGCCAAAGTCAATGGAGACCTTCTTTGGAAAGGGGAAGTCACAAACGTCCCTGGCACATTCATAAATTTGTCTTAACATTGCCACATTTGCTGTCATGTTATTTGAAAGCTGACGTGTTTGGGTTGGGCGGTGGCAAGGGGGTGGGGGTGGGGGAGATTGGCTCTGAAATGCCAGAGAGAGGCATGAAGAACTCTGGAGGGAAGTGGGAATTGGTGGGCATTTTGCACAGAGGTAATTTCTGACCAACTCCTTCCAATGATTTGTAGCTTGTACACAACTATTCACAGGATACTGTTTCAAGGTCATTATTTTAAATTAATATAGAGTCTATTCATTTACAAAATCCATGTATTGCATTCTTTTTGTTTAATAGCTGGGATTCAAAGTGTTAAAAATTCGACTTAACCAAGGGAAAAGAAAGACTAATAACACTGATCATTTTTAAGTGCCATTTCCGAAGAACATGCCCAATGTTTCAAAGTTATTGTTTGTGACTTAAAATTACAATACTAACATCCTACTCCAAGTAATGTGTAAGACACAAGTCTCACAAGCGACTACATTAAACTCAGGCAATAGCCATCATGTAAATGCTGTAACAGGCAGGTGTGTTGGCATCCAGGCATCGGGTGCTTACACACACCCGGTGTGAGTTACAATACACCACCTTTCCAAAAATACAGAGCTCCTAACTCCTCCATTGCTCCTCGTGGTGGAAAGGTTGAAGAATCCTTTTCTGAAGTCGGTTTCTCCATGGAAGAGAAGCAGGACGGCTTAAGGACATTCTGAAATGTAGAAACAAAACCCCTTTGGCTAAAAAGTCTGTGTACTCTGCCAAGCTGGTAGACACGCGGACGCCCGCAGTTTTAGAGAGAGATGTTTCAGAGGCAGGAGGGAAGTGAGGATGTTTTGTAACTTTTTTTATTCCCCGGAAAGGCAGAAAAGAATGAAAATCAGTTAACCATAACATTTAGCATTTAACATCTTTACTTGGGCATTTATGAGTATGAATAGGAAATCTACTTGGCAACAAAAAGGACCATATTCTGATCACTGCACTGGGCAAGTCAGCAAAAGCCCACGCTAATTCCTATTCCGCTTATTTCTCGGCTCTATCTCAGCACTTTCAGCTGATCTTGTGCGACGATTCAGTCTTGGACTTATCTCTGTGTCTTGAAGATCATTTCTGGAAACAGTAAAAAGGAAATGGCATCTTAGAAAATAATGATTATTATTATTCTACAGCAGTTTCTAGTTTCTACTTTATAAGTGCTTTCACATGCATTGTTTCATTTAAACCTCCAAATAGCCCTCTATTCCACTGACAAATCTATCATAGTATTTATTATTACAATTATTATTCCCATCTTATAACTGAGGAAACAGTGACTTAGCAAAGGCCACAGATCGTAAGTGATAAAGCTAGGAATTGAACCCTTTTCTTCTGAATCAAAATCTAGCAGTTTTATGCTTCTGCTTAACACGTAGAAAGCTGCAAAAAAATTGCTTCCATCCTAACAACAAGACCAAGTCAGATAGTCTAACAAAATCATAACTTGTCTTGATCCTGTCAGAGAGCTGAGGTTGTAAGGCAACCACGAAAATTCAAAAAAAAATTCAAAAGAAAGATAAGCTCCTCCAAAGAGAGATGAGCCACATGAATCCTCTCACTTTTGGAAGAGCACAGGAGAAAGAGGTGGCTGTCGTACAACCAGATAAGAAGAAATCAACTGACATTTTAATAAATTCTAAAATAAGGGCTAGTATTGAAGGCCCCAGTCACAAGAAGAGTCCACAGGCACCTGCGAGCTCTTCCAGGAGCCTCCGTCAGGTGCTCATGAGGAAAACTGGAAGCAGGGCAGCAGACTGAAGAGAACCCACTTTAATGGCACAGTATAAGGGAGGTGACTGGGGGCAACAGGGGTCAGGAAGAAAGCCCTGCCTCTTCCCTGGACCCTTCTCTTCCATGAGGCAAAAGCCTGAAGTTGCTGAGGGTAGAGCAGGAAACTCACCGGCCCATGGGCTCAGGCAAAGATTCATTACCTCTGGGAAGGAGCAGAAGTAAATCAGTCTGCCTGAGGGGCAAGGGCAGGAAATCATCTACAAGAACACAGGCCAAGAGTCATTGTTGCTGGGGAAATGGCAGAAACAAACACCCCTACCTCTGGAGGAGGGGCAGAAAATCATCCCAGGCTGATGATCTCACCCAATACCAAGCAGAGGTTCGGTCAAGGCAGTCTGACTACCAGGAGAGTGGGGGGAGGAGTGCTGAGAAAGCCTCATCCTCGAGACACAGGCACAGAGGGCCTGCCTAAGACTGAGGCTGGACCAAGAAAACAGAGAACCCCCAGCTGGCCCCACCATGGAGCAACTAGAACTCTCCCACGTTGCTGGTGGACAACAGTTGGGCAGTTTCTTAGAGGCTGAACATACACTTACCATACAATCCAGCAATGCCACTCCTAGGTATTTACCCAAGAGAAATGAACATTTACGTCCACATAAAACACTGTATTCAAATGCTTATAGCAGTTTTATTCATAATCCCCCAAACCTGGAAACAACCCAAACGCCTATCAACTGTTGAATGGATAAACAAATTGTGGCACATTCATACATTGAAATACCAGTCAGCAATAAAAAGAAACAAACTACTGATACATCTAATAACATGGATGACTCTCAGAAGCATTGTGCTAACGGAAAGAAGTTAGACACAAAAGGCTACGTTATTGTATGATTCCATTTATATAACATTCCGGAAAAGAAAAAGACTGTCAAGACAGAAAAGAAATCAGTGATTGCCAGGAACTGGTAGTGGGAAGAAGAGATTATTTACAAAAGGGCACCAGACAACTTTTTGGTATGATGGAAATGTTCTATATATTAATTGTAACAGTGGCTATATTACTGTATATGTTTATCAAAACTCATAGAACTGAACACCTGAAACTGGTGATTTTTACTATCAAACCTCAATAAACCTGATAGAAAAACAAATATCTATAGCATAGTTTTAGGAAGATATATAAATACACCCATTACGTTTGCATTATTTTATTTTTCCCTCTGTAAATTTTCTATACTTGCCTTTATGAGATAATGAAAATTCAGACCTTTTTTTGCAATCTACTATAATACGATAGTCATAAATGGTCTTTTTGTTATTGTTGTTGTTCTATCATTCAAGTTCACAAAGGAAGCTTATTCTTCCCTTAAAAGCAGGCTGCAATACAAGTTACATCACACATAGGTTAAGTTTGTTTGAGGGATGTTTTATTGGAAAAACACAAACACAGCAATAAAACACAGCAAAGGAGTCAGAGTGTGTTTGCTCATCCCACAAAGTCAGGATGGACTCCCACTCAAAATCTGGTTTGGATGTTGAGACTGATGATAGCACATACACACAGAGAAAGAAGGTATGAAAAGGTTTATTACTCACATAAAGAGGCTTTCTGGGGAGAGCAGGGCAGGCTTCCCAAGTTAGTCAGAAAATAGCTTGAGAGAGCAGGGGAAGGAAACCGGCTTGGGGTCAGAGTGAGGGGTCCCATGAATGGACAGGGGCTTGCAGGGAGAGTTTGCCAGCACCAAAGAAGGGAGCACCTGGGATTTGTTATCATCTGGCCCAGATGTGGGACAGAGGGGAAGACAGAGGATTGAGACTTAAAAGCTGCCAGCAAGCACCAAAAAAATGGAACCAGACTCTTTATGATATGTGCAAAGTATGAAGAACATGGTCCAGAGAATAGCTGTGTATAGTGGGAAAAGCACTAGACTAGGCTTAGGAGACTCAAGACAATTCACCATCCCTCTGGGCTCAGATTTCTCATAAAACAAAATGAATAGAATTCCTTCCCTACCCTGTAATCACAAGGACTAAATAATAAAATGAATATGAAAGTATTTATTTAGGTAACCAGCACATATTAAGAATTTGATAGATACTAGTTAAATTAATTACACATTTGTCTGCTCAAACACTCTGAAATAATTTTTGCTGATTTTATCAGTATTCACTTCCTAGAAAATAATGGCACAAAAGAAAGAAAAATATATCAGCTAACGTGCAGCCTGCAGATAAAACAAGTTCTGTCTCTAGATAAAGGCCTCCTAGTGTAGGCCCAGAGGTGTGGGTCTCTGGTTTTTTCACCAGATAATAGAAAAGTCTTCAGCAGGCAATATTAAAACAGATGGGAGAATCAATATGCTATATGACAGAAATGGTATCCAAAAATTTCTTTACAGGCTGGGGGCAAGAGCTGAATCTTACAAGAGGAAAAGTAGGAAGGATAATAAATGAAGTAAGGACCCATACTTTGGTTCAGAAACAATGTCCCAAATTCAGGATGGGAAGCCCTGGTTTAAGCGCAGGACAGGGATACTAGGTTCAAAAGGAATGGATAGTGAAAGATGGTTAGTAAGCAGATAATAAATTAAATTTAGGATTTTGTAAAGTCAAATAAGTGATAAAAAAGCAATCAGAGTGATAACTCTGGACAATTTCTACATTGTAACATTTACAGAATATAGTTCTTGGCATAACACTTTAAAAGGAACATGGACTGGGGCCGGTCCAGTGGCACAAGTGGTTAAGTGTGTGCTCTCCGCTGCGGGGGCCCGGGGTTCTCGGGTTCGGATCCCGGGCACGCACCGACGCACTGCTTGTCAAGCCATGCTGTGGCGGCGTCCCATATAAAGCAGAGGAAGATGGGCACAGATGTTAGCTCAGGGCCGATCTTCCTCAGCAAAAAAAGAGGAGGATTGGCATCGGATGTTGGCTGATCGTCCTCACAAAAAAAAAAACAAAAAAAAAACAGGAACATGGACAGACTAGAGCCTATAGAAGTACTTGGGACTTGCAGAGCCAGGGAGCCTCCCAGATTCTTTTGTCTTAAGGGACCATCCTTCTTCCCATCACAGGCAAGGCCACTGATGAACAACATCACTGCCTGGAGGCAAGTCCACAGGTTCCCTCTGCCTTCAGCCTGTTTGGCTCTCCATCCACAAAGGACTGTAAATGGGGTGAGGCCAGGCCCACCCACAATAATTTTTTGATGGGCTTTTGCTCCTTATTGCTCCCAGGTGGTTTCCTTTCCCACCATTTTTCTCATCTAACTCTAATTTTTAAGGTTTTTTGTCTCTATCTTTTTTGCTTCATGTATTTTGGGGCTCTGTTGTTAGGTGGATATATGCTTATAATTATTATATCTTCTTGATTGATCTTTTTCTCATTATAAAATCTCTTTGTCTCTAGTAACAATTTTTGTTTACAGTTTACTGTGTCTGATATTACTATAGCCACGCCAGCTCTCTTTTGGTTACTGTCTGCATGATATATCTTTTTCTATCCTTTTACTTTTAATTTACTTGTGTCTTTGAATCTAAAGTGTGTCTCTTATAGATTGCATATACTTGAATTATGTTTTTTTAAATCTATTCTGCCAATCTCTGTCTTTTAATTGAAGTGTTTAGTCCATTTATACTTAACATATCAACTGATAAGGTAAGATTTGTGTGTGCTATTTTGCTATTTATTTTCTTTATGTCTTATGTCTTCTTTTGCTCTTCTATTCCTCCATCACTGTCTTCTGTGTTAAATTATTTTCTAGTATAGCATTTTAATTTCCTTGTCATTTCTTTTTTTTTTTTCCTCCTCAAAGCCCCAGTAGATAGTTGTATGTCATAGCTGTACATCCTTCTAGTTGCTGTATGTGGGACGCGGCCTCAGCATGGCTGGAGAAGTGGTGCGTTGGTGCACGCCTGGGATCCGAACCCGGGCCGCCAGTACCGGAGCGCACGCACTTAACCGCTAAGCCATGGGGCCGGCCCTCCTTGCCATTTCTTTTACTATATTTTAAAATTGCCCCGGAGATTATAATTAACACATTAATTTATAACAATCTAGTTCAGATTAATACCATCTTAGTTTCAATAGTATATAAAAACTTTGCTCCTATATAGCTCTATTCCTTTCTCTCACCTTTCTGCAGTTTTCATACAAATTACATCTTTATGCATGTTCATCACCGCAGATTTATAATTACTGCTTTGTGTAGTTCTCTTTTAAATCAGATGGGGGAAAAAAGAGTTACAACAAAAAATGCATCTATACTGTTTTCTACGTTTACCTATACTTTTATATTTATCTTTACTGGTGCTCTTTATTTTTTCATGTGGATTCAA